CGAGTTTTGCAGTAGTGACGTTTATTTATAGTCTTTCAACATGCTAATTCTTGCCAATTTCCATATTTCGAATGAATAAAATCCACAGGGATTTGGACAGTTATTATAATTTATTTAACCTAAAAACATAAAATAGATATGCTCTCCTTGAAGCCACCAGACTCCATTGACAGACAAAGTCATTTTATGTTGAAGATCATCGTAAAAAACACATGAATTCACCAAAGAAAACTGAATAATTGTTTAGTTTCCACTGTTTAAACAATCATTCGATTTGATTTGAGAAATAAGCAGCCTTTTAAACCAGCTATTTCCGAGGCGTTTGCTAAGTTTAATTGTGAAACATCAAACAATTTTGCACTATTTTATCTGTTTTATTTGTTTTATTTGCTATATATATTCATGTTGCTCTGTTGGAGGAGCCTGTGACTTCAGTTTTTCTGTGCACATAACAATAAAGCCTTGAATCTTGAAAACAAAAAGTCTACAGATAATCTGAAAGTCTATCATTTTGTGCATTTTCCTGCATTTTACAACCATCTTTTACGTGCACATTTTGGTGCAAAAAGTCACCAATATGCGACTTATTAGTTCTGTAAGGTCACTTTAACACACACTTCTCTTTAGGACCCTGCTGTTCTGCGATAGCCGATTACACACCTCCACGCTCAGCTGTAACAAAAAGGCTTTGTGGGAAAAGCATCATGACCCGGTAATGGCACAGTCACTTATCTCAGTATACAGGCCTCACACACACTGGACACTGAGTGCGTGTGCGTGTGTGTGTGTGTGTGTGTGTGTGTGTGTGTGTGTGTGTGTGTATATAAGTCCATTTTACATAGATAACAGTGAATGGGAGGGCAGAACTCACTCCACCTCATCACTCTCTATTGATTGGCTGAGCATGATGGGATATGCTGCCCAGTAATTCACCATGGAGGGTGTTTTATAAAACTCTTTTCATATCTGCCCGCTGCAGACTCCTCACAAACGTCTTGCTCAGCAAATCGCTGCTTCCCCCTTCTTATCCAATCACCATTCCTCCCTCTCTCTCTCTCTCTCTCTCTCTCTCTCTCTCTCTTCAATCCCTTTCCTCTCTCCGCTCCACATCCAAAGAGAGAGTCACATGACCGGAGCTGGATCGATACGAGTGCATCTTTTGCCATGCACTGAATAATGAGACTTACATAACCTGCTTACGCACGACGGCCACACTCTGCCTTTGGTTTGTATCACAGAAAGACTTCAGAGCAGCACATGATGGAGGAGCAGGCGGTAATTTGATCACTTACTACAGCACAGCGGACCTTGTTTGCTGCCATAAACACTTCGTCTCAGCCTGAATGCTTTTACTGTTGTTGCTTTGGCGCCATGCATCATGTCGTGTGTTTCAATCTGCAGTAAATTGACGCTCTAATGCACAGACAGAGAGACAAGACGGCTCTATCTATATTTATCCATTTTCTCACAGACACAGACTTATAGTATCATGGGTGTAATCTGTGGAGAAAATACAGTATGCAGGAGATTTGGTACTAAGCATGTTAAATCTACCTTATGTCATATTTATCTTATATCCTTGAAATCTGCTTTTCCTCCCGCTCCCCTGAGGAGAGGAATTATATTGAAATGAAAGGCTGGATATTAAAAACCTTAGTCATAGTCTGCATTTCCTCCACTGCTGTAAAGGCTTAGGGAAAGTAATCTCATTTATTTTCTCCACAATATTGAAACCAATGTCTACTAGATGGATTGTCTGCAGATATGCATGGTCCCCAGAGGATGAATCACCATCACTTTGATGAGCCGCTGAATCTTTCTATTGCGCCTCATTGGATTGATGACATTTGGTAAATTTGTTGATGTTCCCAACAGGATAAATGTTAGCTTTGACCATCCCTTTACCTTTCAACCAATGTCATTCTCATATCAAACTTAAATGTTTGCAGTACTTGACAAAAAAACAAACATGTTCAGTGCTAAATATTAGCATGCTAACAAGCTAAAGTGACTTTACTATGGCTGTACACTGTTGTATAAAAAGTATTGTATAATTATATAACACCTATGTGAAGCTGTGCACAGCATGATTAAATACTAATTAGACTGATTAACTGGATAGTAACCGGATTGATTGTCCTTCCTCCTTATCTTCCAACCATTTGGACGCAGACTTGCATTTCCCCATAACGATGTTGCTTAACAACCGGCGTAAACGGGCCTTCGCGCGCTATCAAGCAGCTATCAAGCAGCTATCAACTTCTAATACTTTTTAAGACCCCGCGGACACCCTGTACTCAAAATACCTATTTATGATCTCGACCATATTAACAAATTGATAAATATTCAGTCTGAGAAATGCTGAAAAATGTACAGTTTGTTGGTGAGACTAAAAGGCTAATTGACTGTTTAATTGATAAAAGTTCAATTATATTTAATTACGTTTCTTTTAATTATCTGATTGACTCGTTATTATTTTGGGACTACCATTGCTTGTGTTTGTTTTCATGGATCCATTTACTGTGTTTTCATATATGTGTGCAGCAGGAATACAGTGAACAATGGATTTAACGTATAACTTAAATGCTTGTTCAGCTGTTTCTATGATTGCAAATTCGTGTGCACCTCTGGAAACAAAAATGGAAACACACGAGACCTTTTCCCAGCGTGTACACACACCCTCACAGTGCTATGAGAGCAAAGCGCTGCTGCGTACGCTGAACTGTGTCCTAGTCGGAGCGAGGCTTTGAAAGAAAAGGTCACATCTCATCCACCTGTTAAAGAGCAGATGCCACATCAGAGCAGCACTTGGCAGGACGAGAACAAGTCGTTATTGGGCTCACGAGACGCACTTGGCACACACACACACACACAAACACACACACACACACACACACACACACACACACACACACACACACACACACACACACACACACACACACACACACACACACACACACACACACACACACACACACACACACACACACACACACACACACACACACACACACACACACACACACACACACACACACACAGGTTCTCTCTGCGGCTTTCACACCAGCGCTTTTCACTTTCTAGCTCCTAGCGAGAGCTTTTCTGGTTCAGCTCCGGTTTCCCTTTTCAGCTCCCGCTCTGTTCACACCGCCCAGAGCTGCTGCTGCTGCGTCATGACGTCACAGTTTACGTCGCTGATTTTCTCCCACAACAACAACGGGCCGGGGACTGCGTCGGGTCGATGATCGTGTTGCTTTTAATCATACGAAGCGCCGTGGTTCATTGTTTATTAATGTGTTTCAGCGGCATTTACCGACCGCTGCAGTGCTGGCTGCTCTTCAACGGGAGTTTATTCTCCCGTTAGCTCCGGGTTAGCTCACACGGCTCTAAAGTATTCACTGTCTGACTGTCACACAAGCAGCTGATACATATCCCCAGTTCCCCTTAAGTGAATGTGTGTCAGTCTGAATTGATGCTGTTTGGCATCACAACGCTGTTATGAAAGTTTCTCTGGTATAACATGGGTGATGTTAGCATAGCAACCGAAGCTAAACTGACTACTTGCTAAGCCGTTTTCTACAGGCACATTTTACCGGCGTATTTTTCATTATGATTCTACTTGTGATAGTCGGACATGACAACCTGTGCAGCCCATGTATTGATTCCATCCGATAGCTGCTATAATAACAAACAAAACGTCTGCCTGCTCTCCACAATGATCAATAACAGCGAACGGATGGTCAAAGTAAGGTTTCCTGCACGCCTCGACGTAAGAGACGTAAGCGACGCCGCGTCATAGCTCCGAAGCTCTTGCCTCTGGACCGACAATTTTTTGGAGCTGGAAGTGAACCGCATTCCGGAGCTATGACGCACCGCCGCTGCGGTGTGAACAGGAAAAAACGGCGCTTTTCCAGCTCCAACTCCGAGCAGGAGCTGGAAAAGCGCCGGTGTGAAAGGGGCATTAGTGATTGTGCTGTTATGTGAAATGTTTGTTTTCCATGTGTTGTGTCTTGATATGTGTCTGTTGATGTTACACATGGAGCTGCTGTGGTGCAAGGAGCATTTCAGACTTGATCTGACCAATAAAGTATTATCGTATCGTGTCGTGCAAAGAATGGAAACAGAAGCTTTTTCAAGGATTATCAAAATGCTGATGATGTGTAAAGGTTAAAAGCTGACTCCACTTTCACTCAGAGACCATTTGTTCATCCTTTCACTATTTAATGTGTTTACACAGCACACACACACCCACAGCGGCGTGAATACACACCACACACACACACACACACACACACACACACACACACACACACACACACACACACACACACACACACACACACACACACACACACACACACACACACACACACACACACACACACACACACACACACACACACACACACACCAGAGACTCTTCCTCTCTCACCGCATTCAAAAAATCACTCAAAACCCACCTGTTCAACACTGCATTCAACCTCTGACCTCCCCCCCCCCGTCCTCTTTTCTGTTTGTGTTTGTCTCTTAAAGGTGGGGTAGGTCATTCACTTCAGAAACACTTTTTGTTATACTCCATGGAATGCTCTTAACATCCCGATAGCAATGAATACATGAAATGCTTTGACAATAAATCCATTAAAACATATCATCTGTGGAAGCCGTAGTACTGTAAAAAGCACGACCAATCATCTGAGCCGGCCCGGCTAAAATAACTGGATGGCCTACCTGCCTGTCAGCCTTCCATCTGTGCACAAACTTATCTCGTGCCCTCATTGGTCATGTGCGCGTTCGTGTGTGTTGGAGGAGGGGCTCTGTAAGGAAGTCTGAAGGAAGGGGCAGATTTTTTTCGGCTGCGTAGTTTCAAATTCTAGCGCACTCGAGGAGCTGGTTTCTCCATTCTTACCTACCCGTTTTTTAATGTTATTCTCTGTCAAAGCGTCTTTGAGTTTTTAGAAAAGCGCTATATAAGTGTCATGTATTATTAGTATTATTACCTGGAAGCAGCTATTTCCACTTTACTCCTGGCGATGGCTGCCGCTCTCTGCGCCGCCTCCACGGCTCGGTCCACCTTCTCTTTGGTTTTGGGGTTTTTAAGAGGAATCAACTGCTTCCTTATTCCACGCACCAGCACGTTATTTTTGTACTTCCCTTCTTCTTTGGTGGCATCTGGGAAAACCGTGCACCCGTACCCGTGGCGCTTGTTGTTCAGCCATTCCCCCTCGTACTTCATCCCGTTGGATCTCTCCGAAACTCCAAATCCGTTTCGCTTGTCGTTCTTCCACTCGCCCATGTAGGTCTCGGTGGTGGTGGCGTCCACGTGGTCCTCCAGTGGTAAATCCTCGTCCGGCAGCTCTCCGTCACCGATAGAGATGGTGGAGTTGGCGTCGCTTGAGCTGATGCGACTCATTGCGGCGTCACTTCTCGCGGAGCTGCGTTTGCTGGAGATGGACGTCCGAGAGTCAGATTTCCTGAGCTGCCGGAGGCTCCCGAACAGCGATCCGCGACGAAAGAGGCCCTTCTTCTTGGTGACGACCTCGCTGTCGGAGTGGAAGTTCAGCACGAAGCCGCCGCGACTGCCTGCGGGCGCGTCGCCGGGCGAGGAGAGGTCCTGCAGCACGTTGCCGTTACTCTGCTCGGAGCGAAGCGAGGCCAAGGAGGTGCGCAGAGGAGAGCGGATAACAGTCGCCATGCCGTACGGGACGCTCTGACGCACGCCGTAACCGTGTCGCATCCCCCCCATCCACTGACCCTGATAGGTACCTGAGGAGAGGAGACATGGGGATCAGATTAGTCACAACTACACCACTTCCTGATGGTTTTTAACTGATGGATGTTGACCTTATGACCCTTTAATGAAGCATTGAGTGTGACTTCTCCTCACATGTTTCAATGAGTTTTCCTTCTCAAGTTGTTCATGTGAATACTTTTGAAAACCATAAAGAAATTGTCATGAAACAAGCAAAGAGACCCTGATAGGTACCTGAGGAGGAGGAGACATGGGGATCAGAATAGTTACAACACTACACTTACTGATGGATTTCAAAATGTTGACCTTATGACCCCTTTAATAAAGCATGGAGTGGGACTTCTCCTCACATGTTTCAATGAGTTTTCCTTCTCAAGTTGTTCATGTGAATACTTTTGAAAACCAAAAAGAGGCCAAACTATCCTCTTTTTTCATGAAACAAGCAAAGATGACTTATTTTCTATCCTACTATGTAAATCATCTTGAGGTTTCTTAAAGGAAATCGGCGTTCAACTTGGTAGAAGCTACAGTATGTTATATTTCTGCATGCTGGGAGTGAACAGCACTATTTGGGATAATTAATTACTTACGACCTCATGTTATCAATCACTCACTGATCAATTCAAAGACAGTTAGCATCAGCTGGTATGACACAGCATAATAAGACATTACCACCAACCATTTTAACTTAAACTTTAACTTAATCAATTTATTTTGTCTTAATTTTTCAACTTTATCTCTTACTTGAAGGTAAATATTTAACCTTACTGTTTATCCACTACTTTAAACAAACTATTAACAACTGTTTATTATTTTTAACTAACTATTTTAGGCTAGTTATTTATGGAACCTACTATTCTCATCATTTGAACTTTTTTGTCTCAATTCTAAGTTTTCATGCAACTTTTACATAACTGTATTGTTTACATGTTATTTCATATGTTACGCTATATTCTCTAAATGAAATCAAAATGTCTATTTGCTTTAAATACATTTAGCTACTTCATATTTTCCCCGTGCAAAGGTATAAATCACAGCTCTCTGATTAACTGTCACTGATAACATCAGATTATTGGATTATCTCAATAGCTTAACCTATTATACGAATGCTTTCAACTCGTACCAGGGTAGAATCAACCTTTTAAGTGACACTAAGTTTCAATTCCTTTTTATGAAGAAGGTCTGTTTCTTCTGCATTTCTCTGGCCAGATATCCTCCACACCAGTCTTTGAGACAGCGCTACAGATTTGAGAGGAGCCTTGCAGCGGAGTATGTCGGCTAATGAAATGTTTTCTCTCCTTCCCTTCAGATCTGGGACTGTGAGCATAACTAACTCAATCACAGAGATTTGATTAAGGTACTGATACTGAGGATCACTTGGGATGAATGTGAATCACTCAGCTCGGGGCCTATTTTCAGGCGGCCAATAACTCCCCCACTGACAGCAGCCGCTCGTCTGTGACGACAAGGACTTGCTATGAGTCACATAATGAGAGGAATACTTCATTAATGTGCCGCTGAGCCCAGTGAGCATGTGCTATCCTACTGTAGCTTCTTCAGAGCGTCGTATTACAACCATGATCCGAGTAATAAGAAAGGCTCGTTAAGCCGGCGCTCCAATCTCATTGAGGAATACAATTAAATAATCCATAATGGGGAGATTCAAAGAGAAAGCGATACACGAGGCGGGCAGGACTCGGCGAGGATAAACAGGGCGAGATTAACAGGCTGGCTCTGCGCTGGGTGACCCTGCAGATCAACTTATCAGGATGTTCGGGGTCAGACAGCCAGATGTTCTGCCTCTGGATCAGCTGATTGCACAAGCCCGACCCTCTGCAGCCATCATATGTGAGGCATTTACTGTGCAGCATACGGCCCCCGTCAGGAGAGGATGCTCACAAATCGCCCAAAGACTTAAGAGGTTTCATAACCACAAAGGATTGCGTGTAGTAGTGTTTTAGAGTCTGTGATATCAAGCTGTTTCTGAACACACAGGTCTCTTAACAAGCTGTGAACACACACTTTCACTGACCTCTCACTTGGTTGAATCATGGATGACAGATATATGTGTTTTTTCAGCACAGTGGAAAGCTCTTAAGTTTAAAAAGTGATGTAGAAAATTAGAAAATGCATCCAAGGTGTATAAACTAGGGATGCACAATATATATAGTACCAATAAATGATCATATACATAATCTATTTGGGAGTCAATGGGGATGCATGTACATAAAACAAGTTGTTTACAATGACATTATAGGGTCAGTCTACTAATGATTGTCTTTTATCTGCAGACCAAGCCGTATTATTGGGTGTTTAATACATTGACATGTCTTATATGTCGATTTATGTTGCAGTGTAACAATAAAGGCAATTTCTTTGTTTTTCTTGCGTTAACAATAGTAATGTCAGTTAGAGTTATGGGATATTAAATCCCACATTTCAGGTGTGCATGATAAGCTTCATGTTTTGAAACCACAATCATGTGAAGTTACAGGTTATCTTATTGGTATAACAACACATGAGGATCAGGTACGTTTTGGCTTAAAACTAAGACATCCATATTGTGCATCCCCAGTGAAAACACCTCTGGACATTAAAAGAGGCACCATCTCAAATCAATCTTTGGAAATGTTAGCATTCATGCAAAAGCTTCACTTTAAGATGTGTGTCATTGCAGCTGAATGTGAAATGAAAGAGGAGGAGGTGATACTCTGGCTATTATTGGCTCCAAACAGACTGATTTGCTCTGATTTCAAACTATCCGGGGCATGGTGCCACCCCCCTCCCTCTGTCATATGAGCAGCAACCGGTAGCTGCCAAACGAGAGGAGCATTGGAAGAGGAGAGGAACCATTACATGAGTCTGTATCAGCGAGTAAACACAGCCAGGGTGATAAGAAAGAAGTCATATTTTAGGGGAGGGGGGGTAAATGATGATGCTTGACCACTGCGCAGTGCGCCATATCAACACAGATCATATCAGACTCATGAAGCATCTCCATGAGCATCCTCACATCAGCTGTTAAAGCGACACACACACATACACACACACACACACATTAAGGATGTCTCACCGCCATCTCCGTAGGTCTCGATCCCGTACCCGTCCTGCAGCCCGTTGCTCCAGGTGCCATCGTATCTCGCAGGTGTGTTGTGGCTCTGGCGGATCCCGTATCTCCCTTTAAAGCCATGACTCCACTCCCCGCGGTACATCCACTTCCCCTTATTCTCCACACCGAGTCCATGCCGCTTCCCCTGGGACCAGTAGCCCCGGTAGGTGTTCCCGCTGGGCCAGGTGTACACCCCCACTATCTCGAATCCGTGCGACCAGGACCCCGCGTACTCGCCCTGGCCCTTGGGTCCGGTGCAGATGCCGTGTCCGTGGGCTTTTCCATCCTCCCACCCCCCGCAGTAAGTGCCACCGTCGTCGAAGTCAAACCTTCCGCCCGTCATTCAGAGTCAGGATCCAGGTGAGATGCACAGGACGATCCGACCAGAGGATGACCACTGGAAGGGGCAGAAACAGAGAGCAGGGTGAGGCTGGACGTCCACATGCGTAACGGCGCGTGAAGGTGTGAACGCGGGGCGGTTGTTTTTTTTACCGGAGGCGAACGCCGGGTTCTCCGCTGTGTGCTGCTGTCTCCCCCCTCTCTCACCCACTGATCAGAGGGAGAGAGGAGGCCAGTCCCTGCCGAGGAGAGACACTGGTCCAATCGCAACGTCAAGATACAAGGACCTCCCCCTTTTAACTCTATACCTCCCCCCTCAGGGAAGAGCCAAAACCTCCCTCTCTTAAATGTTTTTACTTTCAATTCTCACATTACAATTCCTCTTAATACTCAAATAATTGTAATATTTGTTTGTGATAGGTTTATGATACTCTTGTAAGCCATAGTTACACATTAATCCCCATGACAATACTTTATAACTGCAGTTTTACAGAATAATAAACATTGTGCAACAGCCATTACTGTTTGATTGTATTCCCAAATATATTTAATTAAAGGAAAACTAGTGCATCTTGGGATCTTTGGATAGTCTTTTTACTGTCAGGAGGTAACACAGTGTGTGTTGCAGTGAGTGGGTGCACAGCGTGTTTTGGTTATGATTGCAAAAGCCCATGTGACTTCAAAATGACTCAAATACAATACAAATATAAATGGGAAGCAGTGATAAATGTTATGGTCCTGTTATGTTCCTAAATAATCTGATACTATTGTTAGAATTTATTGTATGTCTTTTGTATTTTATTTTTGTCTTTTTCTATTTATTTAATCGTTTATTTGGCACAGTAATGAACACTTAAAACATTAAAATGTATCAAGCGTAACAGTGCCAGATTTAGCTTTAAAGTGGACCTATCATGCTATATTTGAATAATATAGTGTAGGACCATACCTATATAAGGCATATTTATACTTTTTTTTTTTCAAAATACCAAACAGATCATGCATTTTAGCCATGCCTCATTTTGCTCAATTTGACATTTTTTATCCCTGTTTTAGCAAGGGCAGATTCTGTGAGAACAGCACCATCTACTGGCCTGGCATATGTACTACAGCGTCTCCAGCGCTTTCGAACGGCAATGGCCGTGACTGTCTCCTCCTGATTGGTGGAGTTGGCCCAATAGCCGTAGCGCCACCGTCCTGACGTCAGGACAGTGTTCAAATCTGGATCAGTTTTTATCAGATCCGTTGCAGCCCCTTTTTTAGAGATTTGGGTATGGAGGAAAATAGAGAGGGTTGTGTTTTCTGACACTTGTGGCGCATTTCCACCACACGGTCGGCCTCGGCCACGCTCGGTACTGCTTGGCCGCGTTGGGCCTTAACAGGGCCGGCTCACTTCATGCTGCGCTTCCATTACAGTTTAGGAACTGGGGTAGTTACTATAGTAACGCAGTGTAGGCGGAGCCGTGACGTCATCTTCAATGAGAACCCCAGAAAAACAACACAGCCGTTAGCCGTTAGCACTCAGAGCTCACAGCTCCTCATATCTGTTCAGAAACTCGACAAAAGTTAATCAAGTACAAACCACAGACTGCCTGTGTCATGGTGAATACAGTCGCTGCTTTATTTATGTCTGTATAGGCCGTTGTTGTGAGTGTGGACGGTCGGAGCATATACTGCGTTAGCTTAGCCAATCTCCATCTAGAAAACACACATTTTAAAAGGTTTTTCACCTGCCGTCTGTCTGCAAACTTGCCAAAGCATTAATTCATGGTTTTTACTAACCGGTATCAGTATGTTGTTACTTCGGCATCATTTTGAAACGTGTATTACAATTAAATCACGGTCAAATATGTTCATCTTGTTGTAGTTGTAGCCTCCTTGCCAGCGATTCTCTCTCTAGTTTAGCATACTCAGCCCGACTCAGCCCTGTTTGTTGGCCCCGATAGAACCACAATTTTGTCGGGCCAGAAAAGAGGTGAAAAAGTGGCCCCGCGCCGGGCCGGGCCGTAACTAGGCCTAGTGGAAGCGCAACCAAAAACGGGCACGGCACGACACGGCACGCTTAAACCGCGCTCCGCGCCATGGTGGAAATGCGCCATTGGTGAGTTCCCTGGAACACCGGGGACACATATTCATGTATAAAAGACGTACAAAAGTGCATTTTGCATGATAGGTGCCCTTTAAGCTAATTTCCATCCGCAGTCCCTCACATAAAACATTACAAAAAAATACATTTTACAAACATGGTAAAAACAAAATACATGATGTGCAAAAGGTGCAAAAGAGCAAAAGCAGCACACACAAGTATTTACCACATGGCAGTACAATGTAGCAGCTACGACATATAAAGTGCAAGAGGAGATACCCCTGTGTTAAAGTCCATGCAAACATTTATAAACAAAACACGTACTTTTAAAAGACTTAAAATTGTCAAAGCTCAAGAAATTGTGTTTTTCAAGGATGGTTCAGTGGTGGTATGAATTTTATGTTTAAATGTATTTATTAAGATTTCTTTTCTTTTATCTTTTAAACTTTTTATACTGTTTTTATAAATATACAATCCTACATATTTGATATAAGCTGTGTTATATCTGTGAATGTAAATGAATGTTATTGTACTATTATTGTTTCATATAAATGGATCCAAGCCTTGAAGAAAAGACAATTAACTTTTAATATAATACACATCACCAGCTGATGTGTATTATTATTATTATTATAAACGGTACTTTGAACACTTAAATTATATTATTGACATTTTAAACTGTATACCCCGGTTATCTAGGCCCTTTTGTTTTGTTTAATGTATACCATGCTTATCTAGGCCCTTTTTGTTTTTTGTTTTATGTATATATGTCACACTGTAGGACTGCGGGAAACAATATTTCGATATTTCTGGATGTACAACATGTAGAATTATTGACAATAAAGCTGACTTTGATTTTTTTTTTTTTTTTTTTATCAAAACAGTTCCTCTCACTTTGAAGAAATAGAGAACAGCGACCCCTGCTGTCCAGATGCACTTATTGCAAAGCTGGAGCTGGTAAATATTAAATAGTAAAAAAATTAAAATCTGTAATGTGAAAGTTTGAAATGTGCTCTTATATTTAGTTTCTAAAGGTATTTAAAAAATATATTGCCTAGATTTTCTATTTAGTTATTATTAATTGTAGTATATTACCTCTTTTTTAATAGAAATACACCGTTTTGTTATAGTTTCCTTAGCCTATTGCGAAATACATTTTTATTTAAAACGTTTTTTTATTAAAAAGCAGATTTAACAATGGAAAAAGAAAAACAGTAAACATGGAGTATTGTGGTCCCCTGTTTTGTGTTTTCTTGTTTTTTCTACCTATGTACTTGTGTGTTATATATTTGTCGAATGAAAAATAAAGAGTTTAAAAAAAAGAAAGCAGGTGTAATTCCCCTCCCCGCCAGCAGGGGGCGTTTGATTCGTTCACCGTGTTGTGGTGTGCTCTCCTCTCTCTCCTCTCTCTCGTCCCTCACACACACTAACAGAGAAAATGGCGTCTGAAAACCCTCCTGAAACCCAAGAAGAGACAGCCTCTCTGATAGAGAAGCTTCCAGAACAAGATGGACATCGGGAATGTTCCTCAGTGGCCGAACAAAGAGGGAACCAACTCACTTTGTACCACTGGACCCAGTCCTTTAACTCCCAGAAGGTGAGGGTCTTCTTCGCTTCAGCACCTCGGCAGGGGACAGCTCTTGTATAAGAAGTCTAATTAAATCCTTCTGTGTAATAAAACCATTATAAATAGTGTCATTAGTGTGAGGAAATGTAGATATTTAAAGCTCCTTATTACCTGGGAACACTGCCATTGTGTCTCTTATTCAAAACTGTGTCTTATTGAAGAGAATTCATACTTTATTGATAATGAAATCTCACTCTTTTTCAATGTCAGCACCACTGCAGGGGACAGCTCCTCAATTAGGATTCATTAGATCTATAGTTTCATCTAAAGCTGTAGATATTTAGACATCTTAGTTACATGTGAACACTGCTATTGCACCGCATAGTTTATCTGTCTTTTTTAAATTGTAACATGTGAGAATATAAAAATGCACATGCTATAATCCTGCATAACCAAGAGCACTAAGTGTTGGAATAACGCGTCTTTATCATCTTTTTCTTTTGGATCTGGAGACACAAAAGTATTTTTTATAGTGTATTTACATTATCTGTCTTTTAATAATAATTTGTGAGGAACTTAAATACACACGCTATAATTTAAGAGCAAAAGGTGTAGGAATAAGGCGACTTAATCATCTTTTTAGAGTATTTCTTAGAGTGTATTTACATATGCTCTTTGTGAGAAATGTAAATACGCACGCTATCATCTTGAATTAACAGAAGCACTCAGTGTTTTGGATGTGGAGGTAAAACAGTATTCTTCATGTATGTTTCCGTGTACTTCCATGTTCTCTGCAGGTGCGTCTGGCCATCGCAGAGAAGGGTCTTCGCTGTGAGGAATACGATGTGAGTTTGCCGCTCAGCGAACACAACGAGCCGTGGTTTATGCACCTGAACCCGACCGGAGAGGTGCCCGTTCTCGTGCACGAAGAAAAGATCCTCTGTGACCCCGTGCACATCATGGACTACCTGGAGCACACCTTCACTGAGGGTGAGAGGAGATACACAACTTAAATATATATAAAAAGTACAAGGTGGGCTCATTCAGACGTTGTTTTTGTTTATTCCAAGTTTTTAAATTATCATTTGTTTTGTCATGCATTCATTTCTTTATTTTATTTTCCATTCTCTCTTGGTTTGCACTGATCCATCATAGCTTTGTTCTAAGAGTCTCATCAAGTCGCCATCAAAGGAGAAAGTCTGGTAAGCATTGATCGAGCATTTGTGGCCCTTGTGTTGTCTTTTCTTTGACTGTGTGTAAAACCACTGTTAGAAAAATCTCCCTGGTCCCCGGCTTGAGCTTCAATCTCAGGATCCATGTATCTCTGATCCTCTCCAGAATGGAAGTAGTCATCACATACAGAGCATCAACTAGTTCCTGAACAGTGTCCTTCACATGCTGATATCCAAGAGAGGGAGTTACACAGTCACAAGATGGAGGAATAGAAAGCAGTATTCAATGTTTACTTCAGATTAGCTCCACGTCAGAAATGATCATGCTTGTCATATGTCTATCTCCATAGAGGCTGAATCATCATGTTAATCACATAGCTATCATATGCCTCAAACAGTCCTGATGCTCTTCTAGGTAATCACACATCCTGTCATGTTCACAGCTACAGTTGGG